GAATTATCTTAGGTGAAGGGAAGGACAACACACAATACAGGGGAGGTCAGCACTACTGGACTAAACCAAAAGCTAAGAAGTTTCCTGAACACAACCACAAACAGTTCGAGGAACAGTGTAACAGGTACAGGGGTCTGGGGACCATGGTTTCAGGGGACATCTAGGTTAATTGGTGTAACAAAGTTTATTAAGAAAATGTTCTACATCCCACTTTGGTGAGTGGCGTCTGGGGTCTTAAAAGCTAGTGAGCAGCCATCTAAGATGCATCAACTGGTCCCGACCCACCTGGAGCAAAGAAGGATGAAGAACACCAAAGACACAAGGAAAATATTAGCCCAAGAGACAAAAGGGGCCACATAAACCACGGACTCCATCAGCCTGAGACCAGAAGAACTAGATGGTGCCTGGCTACCGCCAATGACCGACCTGACAGGGAACACAACATTGAGTCCCTGACAGCGCAGGAGAAAAATGAGGTGCAGAACTCAAATTCTAGTAAAAAGACCAGACTTAATAGTCTGACTGAGACTGGAGGAACCCCAGAAGACAAGGCCCCCGGATCCTCTGTTAACCCAGAGCTAAAACCATTCCCAAAGCTAACTCTTCAGACAAAGAATAGACTGGACTATAAGACATAAAATGATGCTCTTGAAGAGTGTGCTTCTTAGTTCAAGTAGATCCATGAGACTAAATGGGCAGCTCCTGTCCAGAGGCAAGATGAGAAGGCAGAAACGGATAGGAGCTGGTTGAATGGACATGGGAAATCCAGGGTAGAAAGGAGGAACTGCAGTAACATTATAAGGATAGCAACTAGGGTCACATAACAGTGTGTGTATAAATTTTGTACGAGAAACTAAACTTGAGCTGTAAACTTTCACCTAAAGCACAATTAAAAAAAAAAAAAAGTTAAAAATAATAAAGGAGCTTACTTAGCTTAACTGTTAAAACAGAACAAAAGGAGCTATATCTGTGGCAGTAGATTGCTTCCAGCCAGCCTGCACATGGCTGAAATACCATTTGTACTTAGGCTGACATTAACAAGGGAGGAGGTGGACAATGCATGCAGTGGGCGATTTTTATACTTTCTGATTTTTTTATGTCCCTTATCCTCAAGTTACTACCTCCCCCTCATCCAATTCCTTTAAAAAATGCCCTACTTAGTGAATTTTCTTCCTATGCCCCTGCCAAGACATTATTTACGCTTCTTTTTTCCTATAGTCAGCAGCAAAAGGCAGAGAATTGTGTTTTTGATTTTTTAAGAAGTATGACTGTTCTAAGCTTCTAAATCAAGGCATAACCAAGAATTTGGTTTTTCATATTCTGAAAATAAAAATAGAAATTTAATATCTTCTGGTTAATATATCAGTCCTGCAAATATCTTTATTTGTTCTGTGTGTTTCTTTAATAGTTCTATCAAGAAAAAATAGAAGGTGTTTTGGTTATGAACAATTCAGTGATCTTTTAATAAATATTATGTCTAGCATACCTCACTTTATTACAATTAACTTTTTTTTATCTACCCTGTTCCAGGGAAGAGATTTTCCCCCAAAGTATCCAGAATTTAAGGCTTTTAATATGTGTGTAAAAGGTAGTGTTTGTGTCATAAAGACATTTTTCTAAATTTATTACAATATTTTGCGGGTATTCTTTGAGCAGTCAGATTTTTTATGTGTATTT